GCAGTCGGGGCAGGCGTCTGCCCCCCACCCTGCAACGCACGCGTAGGAAGGACGAGCCCAGGGAAGCTGAGATCTCCTACAGAGCGGCCCTGCTGCAGCGCTGCCAGGGCCAGGCCCTCGGCTCTTGCTGATCAGTGTAGGCTGGGTTGATTTCAATGGAGCCGTGCTGCAGAGGGTCTGCCCCATTGAGGTTTTGCATTGTGTAAGTTTCACACACAGGACATTGGTTGGGGGAGAGGGGGGCAAGCTACAGACATGCTGAGCGCCCTGCACACCAGTGACAGCCTCCGATGCTCAGCCCCTCGGTCATAATTCAAAATGATCTGGAGAAAGGTCTGAGGTCACTAGGATGAAGTTTAATAAGGACAAATGCAAAGTGCTCCCCTTAGGAAGGAACAATCCATTTCACACACACAGAGGCTATGTCTAGACTGCAAGCCTCTTTCGAAAGAGAGCGTCTAGACTGCACGGAGAAATTTCGAAAAAGCGGCTTGCTTTTTCGAAAGAAAGCATCCAGTGAGTCTGGATGCTCTCTTTCGAAGAAGCCCTATTTACATTGAAGAACGCCTTCTTTCGAAAGAGGAACTTTCGAAAGAAGGCGTTCTTCCTCGTGAAATGAGGTTTACCGCCATCGAAAGAAAAGCCGCGTTCTTTCAAAATAATTTCGAAAGAACGCGGCTTGAGTCTGGACGCAGGGGAAGTTTTTTCGGAAAAAGGCTACTTTTCCCGAAAACCTGAGTCTGGACACAGCCAGAATGGAAAGCGACTGTCTAGGAAGGATACAGCAGAAAGGGATCTAGGGGTCAGAGTGAACCACAAGCTAAATATGAATCGACAGCATGACGCTGTTGCAAAAAAAGCACACGTGATTCTGGGCTGCATGAACAGGAGTGTTGTGAGCAAGACACGAGGAGTCCTTCTTCTGCTCTACTCTGCGCTGGTTAGGCCTCAGTTGGAGTCTTGTGTCCAATTCTAAGCACCACATTTTAAGAAAGATGTGGAGATATTGGAAAGGGTCCAGAGAAGAGCAATAAAAATGATGAAAGGTCTAGAGAACATGAGCTATGGAGGAAGGCTGAAAGAACTGGGCTTGTTTAGTTTAGAAAAGAGAAGTTTGAGAGGGGAGATGGGAGCCGTTTTCAAGTACCTAAAAGAGCCTCACAAGGAGGAGAGAGAAAAATTGTTCCCCTGGCCTCTGAGGACAGGACAAGAAGCAATGGGCTTAAACTGCAGCAAGGGAGGTTAAGGTTGGACATTAGGAAAACCTTCCTACCCGTCAGGGTGGTGAAACATTGGAATAAATTGCCTGGGGGGGGGGGGGGGGGGGGGGGGGGTGATGCCACCCTGGAGATATTTGGGTTGGACAGACACCTGCCTGTCAGGGATGATCTAGATGGTGCTCGGTCCTGCCGGGAGGGCAGGGGCCTGGACTCAATGACTCTCGAGGTCCCTTCCAGTTCTAGTGTTCTAGGTTTCTATGATGAGCAGAGCCTTCCAGGGGCCCCTGAGTGTCCGCTGGCTGCGGCCGAGTGCCAGCGTGGGGGCGGGAGCTGATTTGTGATCACATGGGCATAGTCCCTCCTTCGGGCCAAGAAGGGCCCATCTTCCTCACTCAGATCAGCGAGGGGCGCGGGGAGGAGAGAGATGTTAAGGACACGGCAAGTCTCCAACAACGCCTGCGTCAGAGAGGCTTGCGGAGATTCATTTTTCCAAGGGGACCGCCTCATGCCAGGAAGCCAGGCTGCACACAGATAGTACACACTGTCCTCCCGATAAATTACAGAGGGCAAAGCGAGCTTGTGCCAGGGAGAAAAGCTTTCCACCACTCCGCGCTCAAGTAGCCAGAAGGGGGTGACAAGGCGGAGGGAGAAAAATTGTTCTCCTTGACCTCTGAGCATGGGACGAGAAGCAACCGGCTTAAGCTGCATCAAGGGAGGTTTAGGTTGGACTGGAGTCTCAAAGAAAGCACATGGAAACCAGCCTGAAGGAATCCGCAGGGTTAGAGTAGCAGATGGGATGAAGCAGATGAAGGCAGACTGAAGGAATTGGGTTTGTTTAGTTTGGAAAAGAGAAGGCAGACGGGGGACGTGAGCAGCTTTCACGTACCTAAAAGGGTGTCACAAGGAGGAGGGAGAAAAATTGTTCTCCTTGGCTCTGAGGATAGAACAAGGAGCAATGGGCTGAAATTGCAGCGAGGGAGGTTTAGGTTGGACATTAGGAAAAACTTTGTCCGGGGGGGGTAAACACTGGGATAAATTGCCTGGGGGCGGTTGTGGAGTCTCCATCCCTGGAGATATTGAAGAGCAGGTGGGACAGACACCCGTCAGGGATGATCCATTCTAGATGGTGCTTGGCCGTGCTGGGAGGGCAGCGGACTGGACTTGACGACCTCTCAAGGGTCTTTCCAGGTCTAGGATTCTATGTCCCTTCCTCCCCAGTCCCCAGCTTTGAGGAGTAGCACTAGGGCTGGCTTAGCACCAGCCGCACGGGAGGGAGCCAAAGGGGTTCCACCGGAGGCAGGGCTGGGCGTGATTTCCCCAGAGAGAGAGTGTGTTTCGGGCAAGAGGGAGGTGAGACGTTGCTGCCGTGGAATACAGAGCGGGCATGTCGCTGTCGGGCTGGGGATCACGAGGGCTCTGATCCCACGTTATAACAGACTGACTTCCCCTCTCGCCGGTCTAGCTGGAGAGCTACATTCAGAGGAGCATGACGTCGGAGGTGGCTCGGGTCCAGCAGCACGTCGCGCAGACCCACACGGCCACCATGCTGGAGATCGGGACGAGCCTCCTGAACCAAACGGCCGAGCAGACCAGGAAACTGACCGACGTGGAGGCCCAGGTGCGGCAGGAGCATTCTGGGAAAGAGCTTGTCGCATAGACGCACACGTGGCTGCCCCGTGTGGGACCCCCTCTCCCACGGACTCCTCACGCGGCTGTCCTTGGGCAGAGCAGGGCGCCTCCTGCCTCAGCTTCCCTGCCTGTGACCAAGAGAGGATATTTCCCCCAGGTCCCAAAGGAGTGGCAAGGCTCGATTCACTCATGTTTGTAAAGAGCTATGAAGGACAAAGGGGCGGGGGGGAGGGTCCATGATATTAGCGTGGCTCACGTGTACGATTCATCGGGCCAGTCACAAAACTCATGGCTCATACGGGTGGGTTGAGATTTCTGAAGGGATTTGGCTGCTCAGTTCCCATGAAAATGAATGAGCTGGGGATACCCCATCCGCCCTCCCCCCTATGGGGCTTTGACAATCTCACCCCTGCAGCAGTGTTCCCTGTAAGTGGAGCGCTCAGCTGGCCACCCAGGAGAGAGTCATATGCTGCCCACTTGGCAGCAGAGCGCCCACAACGGGCAGCATGTGTTTGTCCTGGTGGTGCACATCGGCATATGCTTTGGTGCACAATTTATTCCGCACATGGATGGGAAAAATGAGAGGGAACATTGATGGGTAGTTGACGTGGTCCGTGTAAAATGAAGAGAGACTGTGGGATTTCTAGGCTGGGGTTCACATATCGTCCAATCAGCCTCCCTTCCCTTTACTCAGGGGTGGGCAAGATTCGGCCCATGGGCCGGATTTGGCCCACCAAGCCCTTTGATCCGGCCTGTGGCCACCCTGCAACAGTCGAGACCTGGGGGTGGCAGAGCATGCGAAGTCTCTCGCCCCTGCCCTGCCAGGGGCACACGGTGCCTAGAGGGAGCCAACAGCCGTTTTGAACAGCAAGTGACGTCACAAGCTGCCCCCTCCCAGGTCCTGATTGGCCTGGGGGTGGGAGAGTGTGCAAAGTCTCCTTCCCCTGCCAGGGCCATGGGGCGCCTAAAGGGAGCTGCCCCTTCCGCCCGAAGTCCTGTCCGCCAGAGGCCCCGCCCCTTCTGCCTGAGGCCCCGCCCTGTCCACCAGATGTCCCACCCCTTCTGCCCAAGATTCCGCCCTGTCCTCCAGAGGCCCCGCCCCTTCTGCCCAAGATTCCGCCCTGTCCTCCAGAGGCCCCGCCCCTTCTGCCCAAGGTTCCGCCCTGTCCACCAGCGGCCCTGCCCCTTCTGCCTGAGACCCCACCCTCTCTGCCCAAGGCCCCGCCCTTTCCAGGGGCGGAGCTGGCCTGTGACCACTCCCCACAATTCACAAAGTGGCCCCCATGCAAAATCAATTGCCCACCCTGCCTTTACTCCTGTGATCCGTGGTGGTGCTCACTTTTTCTGGAAAGACCACGACAGGCTCCGCTCCACTGTGGCCAGCATGTGCGGTACAGCCTGGTAGGGGCTCTAGCGCGTGCGCCATCTACACGGGGTTCCCCTGGCGCAGATGTAGCCATGAAATATCGCACCAGGGCCTGGCGACGCTGCTGAAAATGGGGGAGGCCGAAGTGGGAAACGGCAGAGGGACCCCCCTTCATTATTCTTCCCGACTGCTCCCGGCACAGGTTCTCAACCAGACCTCGCGCCTGGAGACCCAGCTGCTGGAGAACTCCCTGTCCACCACCAAGCTGGAAGAGCAGCTTCTGCAGCAGACAAACGAAATCCACACGCTGCAGAGCAGGAACAAGTACGGCTCCCGGCCCGGCGGCTCCCCTCGGGTCCCCGTGGCCAACTCTTGTCGCGCAGGAGGGCGAGAGGGCAGGGCGGCAGGATGGTCGTTTCATCCGCAGCAACGCTCCTGGCCCCAGAAATCAACGTTGCTCGGCCTGCTCCCGCAGTCGGGCTCCCGTTCCTTGCTGCCCCCGGGCCGATGCGCGCGGCGGGCTGGAAGGGCCAGGGCTCCGTGTCCTTTGCCTCGCTCCCTTCTCTCAGCCCTGGCTTCGGTGGCGTGCTGGCGCTCAGCTCGCTTCTGGACAGCCTCGCGGGGTGGGGTGGGCACCAGGGCCGCTGGGGAAGAGGGAGCCGCTCGGCGAGTCCCTGCCAGCAGCACCGAGCTCCGGCGGGAGGCCGGTTCGCGCTAATCGCAGACTCCTCGGACACTAGAACCGGACGGGACCTCGAGAGGCACCGAGTCCAGTCCCCTGCTCTCCCGGCAGAACCAGCCACTAGCCCATCCCTGCCAGGCGTCCGTCCAACCTGCTCTTCAATATCTCCAGGGATGGGGATTCCACAACCCCCCCGGGCAACTTAGTCCAGTGTTTCACCCCCCTGGCAACGAGGACGTTTTTCCTTTCGGACACTAGAACCGGACGGGACCTCGAGAGGCACCGAGTCCAGTCCCCTGCTCTCCCGGCAGAACCAGCCACTAGCCCATCCCTGCCAGGCGTCCGTCCAACCTGCTCTTCAATATCTCCAGGGATGGGGATTCCACAACCCCCCCGGGCAACTTAGTCCAGTGTTTCACCCCCCTGGCAACGAGGACGTTTTTCCTTACGTCCAACCGAAACGATGCAATTGAAGCCTGTTGCTTCTTGCCCGTCCTCAGAGGAGCTGGGGGTGCCGTTGGCGCCTTTCCTTCTGGGGAAGGCTCAGCCGCTGTCAGGACCTCATCCCTGTCCCAGAGCCGGTGGGGCCCACGTCACCAGGGAAGGAGAATCAGAGGTGGGGCTGGTGGCCCCCGCTATGACGGAGCTTTGCAAAGACAGGCGATGCAATTGAAGCCTGTTGCTTCTTGCCCGTCCTCAGAGGAGCTGGGGGTGCCGTTGGCGCCTTTCCTTCTGGGGAAGGCTCAGCCGCTGTCAGGACCTCATCCCTGTCCCAGAGCCGGTGGGGCCCACGTCACCAGGGAAGGAGAATCAGAGGTGGGGCTGGTGGCCCCCGCTATGACGGAGCTTTGCAAAGACAGGCGGCTGCAGGACAGAGCCTGGCCAGGCGGAAGGACAGACGCTACCGCGGGGTCGAGCCCTATTCCCGGCTTTAAGGAGAGCACCTCTTACTGGACTGAGGGATAGCTGCAAAACCAGGGGAGCTTTTGAAGTGCCCCTCCCCCCCCATGGGCCAGCTCTCCCGGCTGGACGGCTGCCCATTTGAAACCCCGCAGGAAGGTACAGCCCCTCGGGCCAGGGGGCTCCACTGCTCATCCCCTCCGGCAGGCTGAGCGGAGTAGCTCACCGGTCGCCCGCCTCCATCCTCAAGGCAGGGATTTCGGGGCAAGCGCCCTGGGAATAAGACCACGATTTGGGGCTGCAACAGCAACCCCCATTTCAACACCAGACCTTTCACACGGAGGGTATTTAAAACCCCCCACCCCCCACTTCCCGCAGGGGGCTCCACTGCTCATCCCCTCCGGCAGGCTGAGCGGAGTAGCTCACCGGTCGCCCGCCTCCATCCTCAAGGCAGGGATTTCGGGGCAAGCGCCCTGGGAATAAGACCACGATTTGGGGCTGCAACAGCAACCCCCATTTCAACACCAGACCTTTCACACGGAGGGTATTTAAAACCCCCCACCCCCCACTTCCCGCGTCCCCTTTGCTGCTTTCCGACCCTGCTCAGGGACGCGTGCACAGGCGAACGAGCAAGGCCTGGAGACCCATTCTGCGGCACGGTGCAACCCACCAGCACGGGCGCCTCCTGCTGGTCACTCAGGGAATCAGCCCTTCAGCGCCCCCTTCTGGCTGGTGTCACACCTGCTGTTAACTTTTATTCTCCACCAATTTGTGTTAGGACGCACGTCCCTCCCAGACAGCGGCGCCCTGCCCTCTGGGTACTGCCCTGCCGCAGGGCCCCCATGCTCTGGGGCCTTCCCCCTTAGGAAACCCCAAACCCCTAATGCCCACCTTGCCAGTCCCCACTAGCCCCTGCCTCCGGGGCAAACTGTAACATGAAATGGCCACTCAGCATGGGCAAGGGGTGTGGACTTGCTGCCTTCTGCTGCCCTGGCTGCCTCCCTAGGACCTTCTGGCCTTGAGAGCAAGGCCTCAGCCTAGGAGCTTGCCTGGCCAGAGCTCCCCAGCTCTGCCTGCCACTCCCCACCCCTGCTCTAAGTCACGAACCTTCCAGCTCCCTTGGCATCCAGGTCCCTCCTGCTCCCCAGCTGGCGTATGAGTCTGTATCCTTCCTCCCCTCCAAGAGCCCTTATTTATACAGCTCCAGCTGGGCCCTGATTGGCTGGAGCTGCCTCAGCTGCAGCATCCACAGTCCCAGTTACCCCCCTCCCCTCGGGGCTGTTTTAACCCTTAAAGGGCCATTGCAGGGCAAACGTCCATCACAAAGGCCAGCCAACCATGCCCGTGCGAGGTGACCTTTCTCCAGGCCTGGTAGCCAGCTGGACACTCGTCTGCCGGATGGTCCCGGTGCAAAGGTCTGCTTGCCCCCACTGTGGGCTTCGGGGCGCTCGGACGCGAACTCCGGGATGGGCCACTTTACAGCTGCCACCTTAGTTGCTGGACTTCCTGCTAGCCCCTCCCACATCCAGCCAGCCCTGGGATAAGGGCCACTTGCAGGAGAGCTCCCTTTAGTGGCATCGGCTCAGCGGCCTGGGGTCGAAGGGAGATCGGGCGCGGGGGGAGAACCGGCTCCAGGCCTCTGTGGAGCCCCACAAACCACACAGAGAACCTCGCTCACCGCTGGAGACCAAGCCACTGGAGGTCACTACGGACGCCAGTGAGTTGTATCCCCGGCCTGAGCAGCCGCCTGACTATCCCCCCGGGTGTTGTGCGCTTGTCCCGTGCCCCCGGGGAGACGATCCCCTCGAGCATCCCCCTCACCGGTCCCCTCCTGGCCTGTCCCTCTGCAGCGTCCTAGAGACCCGGGTGCTGGCGATGGAGAGCAAGCACCAGGCGGAGCTGGAAGGGATGCGCACGGAGAAGGAGACGCTGCAGCGCCTGGTGAGCCGCCAGAGCCACACGATCGAGGACCTGGAGAAGTCCCTGCGGGCCACCACCAGCAACGCCAGCCTGCTCCAGCGGCAGCAGCAGCAGCTCCTCGAGTCGGTCCAGAAGCTGGTGCGGCTGGGCTCCCCGGGCGAAGGTGAGCTCCCCTCCCCGGGGCTGCCCAGGCCTCCTGGCTTTCAGCTCAGGTGTGGCTGGCAGGAAGAGGGAGCGTGTCCCGGAGGCGGTGGGGGAGCGGCACGCCTTGGGCCCCCCCCCGCTGAGAACGGCCCCGGCCCCTGTCCGTGGGAGCAGTAATGTGGAGTGTCGCTTCCCTGCACGAGCAGCATGCATCTGCAGGGACCCCGCCTGGGCCATTCTGCAGACCAGCGCCCTGTGCATGCAGCGGTCTGAGCGCCCCCCAGCAGTGAGGGGGCCCCTCTGAATTGGCACTGCTCCGGCACGGGGGGCTAGCCCCCTGGAAACGTTCTCTCGCTGCTCCACTTCTGCGGCTTCCCTCACGGGCACCTTTCTTTGCCTCGCCAGCTCCCCTCCGGCCGGAGGAGCGGCCCTTCCAGGACTGCGCACAGACCCGCCGTGCTGGGTTTAATGCCAGTGGGGTTTACACCCTCCATGTCGCCAACATGACGGAGCCCAGGAAGGTGAGTCCAGCCCAGGAGAGGGCGCCCTTTATCCCGCCTCTTCCAATGTGGGGGGGACTTGAACCCCCCACCGGCTCCCAGGCGAATGCCCTGTCCCCTAGGCCACACCAGAACCCGCCCCACCACCTTATCTTCGGGGCGCCCTTTATCCCGCTTCTCCCAGAGCGGGCTGGACTTGAACCCGCAACCCTGCACTGAATTGGAGTTTCCATGGGTCCTACCCAAGGCAGCTCTGTCAGCCTTCCCTGCCTGCTGCCCAGCCATTGCCCCACTGTCCTCTCCCAAGCCCGCCTGGTGCCCCTGGGACTCTCTACGGCCCGGACGAGGCGCGCTGCCCCTTCTTGGGCCTCCCAGAGTCTGTTCAGTGCACCTGTCTGGGGCTGTGTGGTGCCACCGTGCCTTAGCCCAGGCATGGGCAAAATACGGCCGGGGGCCAGATGAATCTGGCCCACGGCCCACCGGGATCCTCAGACAGGGCCCCAAGCCACTCAAAGCATCCAGCAACCCCTTCATAGAAAAGCGCAGCCCTTCACCACTTACCAAAACCTCAGAGTGGCCCCCCAGCAAAAATTGTTGCCCACGCCTGCCTTAGCCACCAAATCGGTGTTCACCTGACGTCCTCCTGGCACAGTCCAGTCTGTCTGTGCCCCGGAGCTCTCCGCAGCAGTGCCGGTTTGCCTCCCCTGCAGGCGTTCTGCGACATGGAGACGGACAGAGGCGGGTGGACGGTGATACAGCGCCGAGCCAACGGCAGCGTCAATTTCCAGCGGAAGTGGAAGGACTACAGACAGGTCCGACCTCCCCACGCCCCTCCCCTGAATTGTTCCATCCCTCCCCCACTGTCAACCCTGGGGGTGGCAGAGAGGAGACCTCCAAGGGAGATTGTGCCCCGATGGGTCACTTGTATATCAGGCAGGCAGTGGATCAGGGTGGGAAAATTCAGGCCTGGGGGCCAGATCTGGCCCACCAAGCATTTCTCTCTGGCCTGCCCAGCTGATTAGCAGAGGTGCAGACTTACAGCTGCCTCCCCCCACCTTGCTCCATCCGGCAGCCCAGCTGTTCCCAGAATTCTCCTACTAGCTGGGGGAGGGGAGGGGGAGTGCTGAAGTCAGGGTGTCCCCTTACCCCTGTGCCCCATCTCTGCAGAGCAGGGGTCACAGAGGGAGACACCCAGTCAGCATTGCTGCTGCAGTCTGAAGCATGTGACTCAGACGAGTGGAGGACGGGGGGAGACAACAGCACAGGACAGATTTCCCTTAAAGAGACAGAGCGTGGCTTCTCTCTGAAACTTACTCTGTGTCACTGTCACACACACCCAGGCTGTCTGTGCGCCACACACACACTGCTGCACACACTCAGTCTGTATCACAACGACTGTCACTCACACACAGTGTCACTCTCTCACACACACACATACACACTCAGTAGCCCCACCCCTTCTGCCCAAGGCTACGCCCCTTCCAGAAGGCCCGCTGCCGGCCCATGACCACCTCCCAAAATTTGTGAAGTGGCCCCCCTGCAAAAACTATTGCCCACCCCTGCCCTGCGGTATTTCTCCTGCGGATGGAGTTTTGTCACCCCCAGTGCTGGCCCCCGTAGCTCAGCGTCCGGCGGTGGATTCTGCTTTCCCCCAGGGCTTTGGAGATCCTGCTGGGGAGTACTGGCTGGGGAACGAGGCTGTGCATCTCCTGACGAGCCAGGCTTCCTACGCGCTGAGAGTGGAGCTCCTGGACTGGGAAGGAAACCAGGCCTATGCCCATTATGAGACCTTCCAGCTGGGCAGCGAGCGTCATCTTTACAGGTGAGACACACACCTGGACGGGATCCTTCTCTTGACAAGGAAACTCCCCCAGGGCCATCCAGGGATCTCTGGAAATCCTACCCCAGCCAAAAGCTCTGCCCCAGGGTAGTACTCCGCGGAAGGGGCCGGGCAATAGAGCGGTTGAGGAAGGAACCAGGAAATTGGGGGAGATGTTTCTAGGGGTTTGCATTTCACTCTCTTTACTGAGCTGTTCATCTGCAGCCTCTTCATCAGAGTGGGGGCAGAAGGCAGCGTTGTGCTGTCACCGTTAGTTGCCAAATTGGTGGCAATTCTGCAGCGATTTGTCTGGGTAAACGTGGTGGGCATCTTCAGAACTATTGCTGCCTGCTCCTTTTTAACCTTGAAAACCAAAATCAATTTTCTTGCACGAGGGGAAAGAATTTCTCTTGCTTGCTTTTTGCAAAAAGCCGCGTGTGCATGTCCCCAGGCCTGAACCGGTGGTGCAGTTGGCTGTGCATGTGCTTTTCCAAGGGACACTGTGGTCACTGCTTGTGCAGCCGGGTTTTCAAGTTCAGCATCCTGCAAGGTGCTGAGCACTTTAATTACCAGGGTCTTCGATGGGAGTCAAAGAGCTCTGAGCAGCCAGCAGGATCAAGCAATGTGAAATGTTTGCATAAGCAGGTGCCTGATTTGTGGGTGCAATGCTTGTGACTGCACTTGCAAGAGGACAAATGTGTGTGCAAATATATCTGGCCGAAAGAAAGAAAGAAAGAAAGAAAGAAAGAAAGAAAGAAAGAAAGAAAGAAAGAAAGAAAGAAAGAAAGAAAGAAAGAAAGAAATCCTGCTTTCTCTGAAACATACGATTTGCTACTTGCTCTGAAACACAACTGACCTATTGCCGCATCCAGTACCATTATCAAGTCATGACACCATGACACAAGTCACGGGCAGCTTTGAAACTCAGTTCTATAGACTTGTACACTGACGAAGGCTTGTGGGTTTCCACTGAAGCGTTGGAGAAAAGCAAGGTGAGAAAGAGAGAGAGCAGGTGCCACCTGAAGGTCCTGGCGGGGAGCCGACCAACTCTTCTTCCCTCCTTGTCTAGGGGAAACTGAGGACAAGCCCGGCCTGCCTCTCTCCAAGCCCCGGTTATGAAAATAGCCCCCAGCAGAACAGTCAAGTTTTAGCAAGTGTGAAGATGAGACACCAACCCAGCGCTATGCTGTGGAGGCCTCCAGGCGCGTGACTCGGTTCTGGGGATCTCGGCTTTCAAGTTCAGCCTACCTGGTCCCTAACCTCCCTCAGAATTTAACCTTACCTACTATAACTGCAGATCATAATCCATAAGAACATAAGAGTGGCCAGACTGAGTCAGACCAAAGGCCCATCTAGCCCAGTGTCCGGTCTGCCCACAGTGGCCAATGCCAGGTGCCCCAGAGGGCGTGAACAGAACAAGGAATCATCCAGTGATCCCTCCCCGGTCACCCATTCCCAGTCTCTGACAAACAGAGGCCAGGGACCCCATTCCTGCCCATCCTGGCTAATAGCCACTAATAGACCTAACCTCCATGAATTTATCCAGCTCTTTTTTGAAGTCCTGGTTTTCACAATATCCAGTGGCAAGGAGTTCCACAGGTTGACTGTGCGCTGTGTGAAGAAATGCTTCCTTTTGTTTGTTTTAAACCTGCTGCCTATTCATTTCATTGAGTGACCCCTAGTGCTTGTATTATGGGAACAAGTCATTAACTTTTTCTTATTCACTTTCTCCACACCGGTCATGATTTTATAGACCTCTCTATCCGCCGAGTCTCCTCTTTTCTAAGCTGAACAGTCCCAGTCTTTTTAATCTCTCTTCATATGGCAGCTGTTCCAAATCATTTTTGTTGCCCTTTTCTGACCTTTTTCACTGCCAAGAGATCTTTTTGGAGACGGGGGCGTACCATGGATTTAGATAGACGCCTTATCCTGCCTTATCCTCTACCATTTTTTAATTATTTCTCAGGTCTGGAGCCTTGAAGGGTCCCAGTTCTATCCAGATGCAGTGAGGGTAGGGGTTGCTTCAGGCTATGCCGCCCTGGTCATGGCTGGTTCCTTCAGGGGACATGGAGCATAAGGCAGGCACATTCCACACATAATTGGCTAAAGATACAGAATGGGGCGGGGCAGCTTGGGAAGGGGGCGGGGATTGTATGTGTCTATCAACCCTCTTCCTTTGGGTTGGACACGGTCCCCACCTCTGCTAATTTCACCATCAGAGCCTCACCCCTGTGCTTGCCCATTACAAGTTGAACCTCTCTAGACCGGCACCCTGACCGGTGCCAAACCAGAGAGGTTGCCGAACGACGGGAAGTCACTATTGTCTAGCAGCATTCCCAGCCCTTCCAAGCTTGCTGGGCTCTTGGAAGACGTTGAGGGTAAATTAAAGCGAACGGCACAGAACACGGAGCACCAGGAATGGCGGCTGCCGCACACAGACTTTATGGGACTGCGGGAAACTTGGCCACCCCCATGAAAAGCGGACATCCGGCCAACTCCAGTCATTCTGGATGACGGATGTTTCCGGACCAGAAAGTGCTGGACTAGAGAGGTTCGACCCGTAAACAGCAGCACTTGGCGAGTCCATTATGCATCTCCCCGGAGGGGGTCCAAGCCTCAGTGGGAAGGGAAGGCAGCTGCATGATGTAGGATGCAAGGGGATTGCTTTGCCCACTGTTCAGATCCCACCCCCAGAAACACAGCGCGGCTGGTTAGGACCGGGAGCAATGTCCCCTCTCATTTTTTCCATCCATGGGCAGAATACATTCTGTTCCGTGCACTGAGGCATGTACAGATGTGCACCATCAGTACAAACATGCTGCCGGCTGTGGGTGCTCTGCTAATCAGCTGGGCAAACCTGAATCTCTCTAGGGTGGTCACCCACGCGCTCAGCTTACAGGGAACCCTGACTGGGAGCAAAAAGACGACTAGTCATAAATTCACTGGTCGGGGGGGATCTTCGTGATCATCTCTCCTGCCTTCCTGCGCACCACCGGCCACGCACGTCCCCACCAAGCTCCCGGCACTGAGCTGTTTGAAAAACGTCCGAGCTGGACCGAGAAATCCGCCAGTAACACAGAATCCAGCGCAAGCCTCAGTCAAGTGCTCAGTGATCAATTAGCTCTGTTACCCGCACAAATGTCTCTATCCCTTCCACACTGTAGGGACAGACACCTTTACCCAGTTCCTAGGGCTCAAGGTGCAACCCTATTAATTTATACACCCACCCTTACCCAATTCCTAGGGCTCAGGGTGTAACAACCCGTGGGTTGGCAGGATCTTTAGCCACTGGAAAGAGCCTCACACAGGAATATCCTTATCCTCTATTTATTCCCAAACAAGCAGAGTACACATGCTAAGAACACAGTGTCATGCTCACCAATCCTGATAAAGGCAGGCAGACTTCCCCTGTTGGTCAGGCAGTATCAGTCTCTCTGGTCTTAGGGTGTGTCTTGGAGGTGAAACAAAAAACAGGACTATGTAGCACTTTAAAGACTAACAAGATGGAACTTGGAGGTGAGTTCCTGTTTCCAGGTCTTCCCCCCTCCTCCTGGTCCTCTTCCAGCCTTTTCTTCCTTCTGTTGTTTCTGATCTTGCTTCCTCTTTTTCCTTCTTGAGCCCCAGTTTATATAATGAAACCTGAGTCTTGCTTAGCTAGACCTTCACCAATTATTTTAGTATAATTTTACTAACCAATCATAACAAAATGACCTAACCAATCTCACCCCACCACCTTAATTGATTTACACCTGTCAAAATTAGTGATATAGCAGACAGAAACAGTTACAAACCAGACAGGGATCACACAGTCAAACAACAGGGCTATGTCTACACTGGCATGATTTTCCGGAAATGCTTAAAACGGAACAGTTTTCCGTTATAAGTGTTTCTGGAAAAAGCGCGTCTACATTGGCAAGATGCTTTTCTGGAAAAGCACTTTTTCTGGAAAAGCGTCCGTGCCAATGTAGACACGCTTTTCCGCAAAAATGCCCCGATCATCATTTTCGCGATTGGGGCTTTTTTGCGGAAAACACTACTGTGCTGTCTACACTGGCCCTTTTCTGGAACAGTTTTCCAGAAAAAGGACTTTTGCCTGAACGGGAGCAGCATAGTATTTCCGGAAAAGCGGCTGATTTCTTACAGTTGATGGTCAGTGCTTTTCTGGAAATTCAAGGGGCCAGTGTAGACAGCTGGCAAGTTGTTCCGGAAAAGCAGCTGATTTTCCGGAATAAGTGGCCAGTGTAGACACAGCCTAGGACAGTGTAGTGACAATGCTCATAGGGTGAGGATTCCACAACATCCTCTATTGATAAGCAGTTTCTTGCCAGACAGAATGGCGTTACGCACAAATTTCTTTACCCATCTTGAGATCTGCTTCTTTATCTGGTGACAGTGGGGGAGCTATCGGGGCCACATCCCTCCTCACACCTGGTGTGACACTCTGTAATACAATTTAGATGGAACTGTGAAGATGTGACTCCAGGCCTTACAGTAATGGCTGCTACTCGTCAGTCTGGCTGCAGAAGGCGGCTTTGGTTCAGGCCTAGCACAGGCCTTCCAACATGGCTACAGAAAAGCCAGATTGTTATAGCACCCGGGTACAAACTAGCCGGCTGACACGGCAGGAGCAGGGAATGACCAGGCAGAGCGTAGCCATCAAGCCTGAAACTCAGCCAGGAGACCGGTATGAAAAGCACCATTAAAAGTGTCGCAGTCTCTCTAGGCCTCCCTCCCGCCAGGCGCTCAGCTCTCCGGCCCTGCCCCAGCGAGGGTACGTCTAGACTACAGGGTTTTGTCGACAGAAGTTTTGTCGACAAATACTGTCGACAAAGCTTCTGTCGACAAAGAGCGTCTACGCTACATTCGGTTCTGTCGACAAAGCAAGCTGCTTTGTCGACATGGCAGAGTAGACGCAAGGACAGTTTACATGCAATAACGCTTTCTGTCGACAGAAGGCGTTATGCCTCATGAAATGAGGTTTACCAGCGTCGACAAAACTGCTGAGTTCTGTCAACGTTATGTCGACAGAACTCAGCGGTAGTGTAGACGCAGGTTTAGTTTTGTCGACAAAACCCTGTAGTCTAGACACACCCCGAGACGCTAAAATATTCGTGTCACTTTCAAATGTGCGTCAGCGTTTGGAAGGACGGGAGATAGAGCCCTGAAGAGCTCCTGGGGCCCAGGAAAGACAGAAGGGCGATGTGTTTGGTCCTCTCTGTGCCAACCCCTCTACTGCGAATGCACCTCGCTTTCCAGCCGGCCGGCCGCAGCTTAGCTTGCGAGCTCTGATCCCACCACCTGGCGCGGCAGCTGGCTGGAGCTTGCAGGGATTTCGGAAATTTGGATCACTCGGCACTGCTGCTCAGCTCTGGGACGGGATTGCTCCCTTCTCTGCCTCCGGGCTTGTTTTGCTTGGCCGGGACAGGGGGATGCTTTTAAACAAATCCCAGGAACCTTCGACAACAGTTGGAATAGTAACTCTTGCCCTTTGCTCCTTTTCTCCTCTTCCTTCCCCTCTCCTCCTCCTGCCTCCGGTCTCGCCCTCTCTCTGCTTGGCTCCTCCAGGATCACCCTGAAGGGCTACCGCGGGACCGCGGGCCGGCAGAGCGGCATGGTCCTCCAGGGAACCAGCTTCAGCACCCGCGACTCGGATAACGACAACTGCCTCTGCAAATGCGCCCAGATGCTGTCGGGAGGTGAGCGGGCCTGGCCACGGGGGGCCTGGGGCCAGCCGTCCCCATGCTCGCTGCGGGGTGCGCACAGGGGCCGAGTGTGTGGAGCAACTGAGGCCGAGTTCTCGGGCCTGCTCCCTGCTTCCGGAAGCTCGTTTTGAGCCTCTCAGAAGCGCACCCCAGTGAGGAGGGAGGGAGGTAGATGGACGGATGGACATCCGTCTGAGCGAGATCTCTCCCTCACGGCTCTTCGCCCAGGGGTGCGCTGTTGTGCGGGGAGAGAGACTCGTTACGTCTCTTCAGGCGCCTGGGGAAGGTTCTCAGATGCTGTGAAGATGGTATCCGAGAACCGGACTAGACGAGTGTGACAACCGTTAACCCTCGGCTGGGGCCGGCTGTTATCCTCCTGAAGTTCTAGGATAATCCCTCCGGGACCGTAATGTCCTAATGCCAGGCAGCGCTCTGAAGGCTTTAGGATGCAAGAACATGCCCTGCCAAGGCCAGGAAAACACACCCATTGCTACACCCTTTGGCTGCTGGAATATGGTCTGGGATAGCTCAGGGGTTGGTATCCCCCCAACAAGGTTACCTACCCCGTACCAGTGGTAGGATACTGTCAGGGACAACCCGGTTCTTTTGGTACAGTAGGTCCTGCTACCTGGGGTTCTCACACCTGCATTGCTCGTGTGTGCAGCCCCTAATTCCAGGGCACCGGTCACTCAGCCACAGCCTCTCAGCATGACTAATTCCCACAGGGCGTTGCCCAGCCCCCGGGAAGCCAACAGAAGCAGGGTCGTCACCGATCCCCGAGTCTGAGGACCGGCCCAGCTGGCATTGCTGCAGGCAGGGGAGCTCAGGGCTGGCTTCCATTTTTTCCGCTTCCTTCTGGCTTGATTTTTGAAAAACTCTTTCCAATGTCAAGAAACGTTTTTTTCCAGAATCACCCGGTTCTTTTAGATACACAGAATTTTGCCAGTCCCCAAAGGCGTGTATCTCTAACCAGCCTGTGCATTTTGGCTAGGCCTCTTGGGGAAATGGTGGCTGTGCACACTCCTGAGAACAGCCCAGTGCCTAGAAGCCAAACTGACCTCAGCACCCAGAGGTTTCAGGCTCTGCCTGATGCCCAGACATAAAGAACATCAGAACGGCCAGACTGGGTCAGACCAAAGGCCCATCTAGCCGCCCAGTATCCTCTCTTCCAAAGGCCAATGCCAGATGCCCCAGAGAGAATGAACAGAATAGGGAATCAAGTTACCCGTTCCCAATCTCTAACAAACAGAGATGAGGGACCCTTCCTAGCGAATAAGCATTGATGGACCTAACCTCCACGAATTTATCTAGCAGCTCTTTTCTGAACTCTTTTAAAATCCTGGTCTTCACCACATCCTCTGGCAAGGAGTTCCACAGGTTGTCTGTGCGCTGCGTGAAGAAAAACTTCCTTTCATTTGTTTTAAACCTGCTCCCTATTAGAAGACTCCACATGGTGAGTTCTCTAACCTTCCTCTTCTTTGTTCCCCACTCTTGCTCAGGTTGGTGGTTTGATGCCTGCGGCCTGTCGAACCTGAACGGCATCTATTACCCGGCCAAGCACAACGTCCGGAAGCTCAATGGGATCAGGTGGCACCATTTCCAGGGGCCCAGCTACTCTCTAAAGGGCACGCGCATGATGATAAGACCTTCAGACTTCTAGTGCCCCCGAGCAAGATGAGGCAGAGGGCAAACCAAGCCCCCGGCCTCCGAACTGGCGGGCGACAATCCTGCATGGAACCGGTAGGACCATTAGACCAGCGATAGATGGCAAAGGACTAGGGACACAGCCTAGCAGGAGCAGGGCTCTTGTAACCCAGTGCCTGGGACTCTAGCACAAGGAAAAGGAGGAAAACCCGGAGCTAAGAGGAGGCATGACTCCAGGCCTGGGGTCGTGGGCCTCCAAAGAGAAGAAGAAAAAAATATCTAAAAACAAAACTTCCCGTTGGTGGGAATTATAAGTTTGAGACTAGTGTGATTTTGTGCTATGTTGTAGCATCTCCAGGGGAATCATCCAGAGCACAAAGGGACTCTGTTGGATCCCCCTCTCCCCAGGACGGTGGCTGAGAGGGACAAGGAATAATGCAGAGTGGATAGAAGTGGGGTCTGGCGTCAGCACATTCCAGCAAACACACGCCACCGTTTTCCCCGGCCACACGGCTTCCCGGCTCTTGTCTGCAGATGCTGGCGGAGGAAGAGGGGGCTGGCTGGTTAGACAACCCGGGGCACAGGGTTCTCTGTAAGACGGGCTCTTATGCGGCTGCTCAGCAGAGATTCAGATCCCGCCCAGCTGATTAGCAGGGTGCCCACAGCTCTGTTTTTTGGTTCTGCTGGGAGTGGACATTCACGCATGCCTTGGTGTGTGTAAAATTTATTCCGCACATGGCTGGAAAAAATCTGCCCATGGATGGGAACGTAGAGGGAACAGTGCCTGGGGGCATCTGATCTGGAGGAAACCAGCCAGGGAGAGGCAAGATGGACCAGCCTTGGGGCTTGCACGTGTGTTTTCACTTGCCAAGCTTCAGTTTCTCCTCGAAGGGGACCGGCCAAGCCTGCACCCGACCCTATCGCGGAGCCGGCTGGTGCAAGAGGAGCGTGAGACCTCACATGGGGAGCGCCGCACACAAGGGGCATGTAGGAGGAAGCCCCTAGGGCTGGAATGAATGTTCTCTCCTTACGAGTTCAGTAACGTATGCTGAGAGGGCATGGTCTAGCAGACACACACACACACACACACATACTGACACTCAGAAACACACAAACGCACTTATACACACTCATATAAACACATGCACACACATACACATACACACACTCACAAACACACTCACAAACATACTGACACTCAGAAACACACAAACGCACTTATACACACTCATATAAACACATGCACACACATACACATACACACACTCACAAACACACTCACAAACATACTGACACTCAGAAACACACAAACGCACTTATACACACTCATATAAACACATGCACACACATACACATACACACACTCACAAACACACTCACAAACATACTGACACTCAGAAACACACAAACGCACTTATACACACTCATATAAACACATGCACACACATACACATACACACACTCACAAACACACTCACAAACATACTGACACTCAGAAACACACAAATGCACTTATACACACTCATACAAACACGCACACACACACACGCATTCACACACACACACCCCTCACTTCTTTGTGCTTTGGGCTCCTGCATGTGAGCGAGTGGAGGCTCTGGCTGGGGCGGCTAAGGGTTAGCGCTGGGCGTGTCTGGTGCCTGAAGCCCCCCATTCACGCACTCCCTAACTCACCCGTGCACAGGTGGGGAGCAGTGTGGTGGGCACAGCATGGGCCTGGCTGGGGAGAAGTGCTAAGTGCAGCTGTCCCAGGCTAACAAAGCTTGTTGCTCCAGGCTCACCTGTTAGCAGGGCCCTACCAAACCCCCAGCCGTGCCCAACTCGCCGCGGAGCCTGCAGTCTGCCCCAGTGTGCTTTTACCCTGTGCTGCCCAGGTTTCCAAGGGGAGACCAGCCCTTCTCAAACTGGGGGTCCTGACCCAAAAGGGAGCTGCAGGAGGATCACAAGGTTATTTTAGGAGGGGCCACCGTGCGGCCACCCTTCTGTGCTGCTGCCTTCCGAGCTGGGCAGCTGCCGAGCGGTGGCTGTGACATTGGCCGGGTGCCCAGCTCGGAAAGCAGCGCCCGCCAGCAGCAGGGCAGAAGTAGGGATGGCAATACCGCAGCCTCCTACCACGGTGGTTCTTAACCTTACTGCGGCCTGCACCCCTTTGGTTCCCAAAATATGTTCTCGCGCCCCTTATGAAAAATTGTTGAAGTAGGTCAGTTCTTTAAACCTAAATATATCATAAAAATCTGGCCTGTCTCGCACCCCCAGAAAGGGCATCTCGCACCCCCAGGGGCTGTGTGCACCCCAGGTTAAGAACCACTGCCCTACCCTAACCTTGCACAACACCCCCCAACTCCTTTTTGGGTCAGGACCCCTCCAATTACACCACCGTGACATTTCAGATTGAAAGAGCTGAAATCACGATCTTTGCCATTTTAAAAATCCTGTGCCTGTGAAATTGACCAAAAAGGACGGTGAATCTGGGAGGGCCCTACCTTTTAGGATTGGCCTGCATGGCAGCTGCTTCTCAGTCCCACTAGAGTGGTTCCCAAACTTTTCAACATCACGCCCCGTTTTTGATTTTTGAGAAACCCTCATACTCCCCCCCCGCATAGCAGCAAAACTTGTTGGAGGGGAGGAAGGGGGAACTGACCAGGGCTGAAAAACAAAAATAGCAGCACCACTTAGGACTGGGGGATTGATGGGGAGGGGGACTGGGTCGCCTCGGCTCCCCTTCCCCCGCAGCAAAACTGGTTGGAGGGGAGGAAGGGGGAACTGACCAGGGCTGAAAAACAAAAATAGCAGCACCACTTAGGACTGGGGGATTGATGGGGAGGGGGGCTGGGTCGCCTCGGCTCCCCTTCCCCCCCGGAATTTAGACAGATCTGCTCTAGCTCTGCATGAGAAAAGGCACCAAAAGTAGCCAGGAAGCTGAGCTGGGGGCCCTTGTACGTATTGGGGGCCCGCTGTGTTTGCACCAGGCCTGAGCTGCTGCCTGTGCTACTGAAAACAGGCAGCCTCAATCAGAGCGAGTTACAGCACATCTCGAGCCTGTTCCCAGCTGCAGGCCCGAGGTGCTGAGGCCTGGTACCAGTCCAAAGCAGGAGTAACTTGGCAGCTTGCAGGAGAGCCAGTGAACACAGGACCTCGTCTGCTTGGCGCTTCTGAGCCTGGGCTGATCTGTGCTGCGCCGTGCTGGTATCGCGCCATCATCACACGCTCGGCTTGCTGCCGGCTGCTATCGCAGGGACCGCACAGTGCACCATCACAGCCTCCGCGTGGGGCCTTCGGGTGCCAGGGTGCAGGCAGAAGCATCCAGACAGCCACCATACCGCCCTCGCGGCCCCCCAGCACGCCCCTGGCACCCCAGATCACTCAGCACAAAGGCGGCCCTGCTGCAGGTCGAGGTGCTGTCCAATGTTCTGACTGCCAGGCGAGGAGATCCGAGATGGGCATTAGGTGGACACAACGCTGGCACGACCCCGGGGGATTGTTACAAAGCAGCCACGTAACTGCCTCCTTAACAGGCCCTGATGCGACGTGCTCCCGGCACGTTTTTCTCTCCAGTGCCCTGCAATTCCGTGGCCATCGCCATCCACAGATACGAATCACCGTGGACAGGTTCTGCAGATAGAGACTTTGTTTTCACGCCAGGCTGGATTCATCCCATGACACCAACCGACCCTGGCCCAGCTGGCTTTGGGGCAGCACACCCCTCAGCTCGCCGGGGGAGCAGTCCCTCATTTCGGGGCTGCCTCCTCCTCCAGGCATGTTGTGCTCCTGTGACAACCCCCTGCAAGGGGCAACCCCTTCGGGCCTCTCTGGGGTGATTAACAGAGACGCTCCGCCTTTTACAGGGCGTTTGGAACGCTGCAACACCTGCACAGCCCTTTTGTGCCGCGTTTGAAACGGTCCGATTTGTCCTCCAAAGAGCATCGGCCGGGCTTGCGTCCGAGTGGAGCATCTCAGTATTCTCGTGAATCTGTTTGTCCAAGGGGGCGAGAGCTCTGGCCGTGGCTTGGGGCCATGTTGTGTCTGTACGCCCCACGGGCCGGGTGCTGCGTAGACATAACAAACGGACAGCCCTTGTGGGAAGCTCCTCCTTTGAGAGGGGCAGCGTGAGGGGAAGGACACGGGGGGTTGAAAACGTCCCGAGTGGGCAATAGGGGGGTGGAGTGACAGCTCAGGTGTACGAGAGACGCCAGGTGGGCCGGGCCAGACTGTGAACCCCCTGAAAGCAAAGTCAAGCCATTGGTCTGTTGCCCTAGAGACGAGGCCCCCTGCCTCCGCTGGCCCTTCGGCAAGGTGTAAATGTGGGGGGAGTCCTGGCTCCAAGCTCCTGGAAGGGGCGGGGCCTCAGGTGGAAGGGGCGGGGCTAAGGCAACCAGCCCTCCATGCTGCCCTGAGCGCACTGTGCTGCCCCCTTACCCTTAGAGGTGCCTGGAGCGCACCATGCGGCTCTCCAGCGGCAATTTAAAGGGCCCAGCGCTCTGGCTGCTGCCACAGCTGCAGTAGAGGCGGTGGTGGTGAGGAGCTCCGGGCCCCTTTGGATGCGGGACCCTGCGGCTAGTGCTCCGTCGGCAGGCCTGGCGCAGGCGAAATGAAGGGCTAGGAAGGCGATCCTTGTGGAAGCGCTCCGAATGGGGGTGAGCGGGGCAAGGTGGGATCTGCCCGGCTCAGAGACGCCGAGAGCCTGGGCGAGGTGGGATGTGTGTGGCTGGCCGGGACGAGCCGTAGCGGAGATGTTCTGCAGACAGAACCAGCGAGCCTGCCTGCAAGGCTCTAGGGCAGGGCTACTCAAGCTTGGAAGCCCCGGGGGCCACAGTGATACCCACAGCACAGGCCGAGGGCTGCAACTTAAGTGTGGTTGCATAGACATGCAAATCGATATGCAAATATATGCAAATCACTTTTCACACTGATGGGCATGAATACAAAGATTAAGGCAAGACTACACAACACGCAAGCCCCATTGAAGTCAGTTCTGCAGATATTAATAAAATGCAGTATTTACCCGACTTCCACCCCTAGGACAGCACTTTTAATGAGCAAGGACAGTCCAGGAATGTAACTACTAAAACGCATAGCAACAGAAGACCGTTCTATTGACTGCTTTTTTGTTTTGGTTCACACCCATGGGCTGCGTGTTGAGCCCCATGTAAACCCCACCCGCACTGCGGGCTGCAAACAAACAGGCTGCGGGCCGCGTGTTGAGTAGCTCTGCTCTTGGGAGCCCTGCGTGGAAGCTGGCCCCCAGGTGTAAGGGACGGGGAGAGCAGAGGGGTGAAGCAAGTGGCTGAGAAATGAGGGAGCTGCTGGGAAGAATCGGGATTCTGCTCCGAACAGAAACCAACCAGTTTCCGGTTTCCTTCGTATCCGGGTCCCCTTTCTCCCCCTTCTGCAGAGAAACCCAAACCGCCAGCACCGATCTTTGGATGGGTGTCGCACGCCGCACCCGAGACCGAGGGCAGTTTGGGAGGATTTGCCCTCGGGGCCTGTCCCGTTGCTTAGAGCCACGTATTGCTGCAGCCTTGTTTCCCGTCAGAGGCCTGGCCTCAAAGGGTGGCGGGTGGAAGCAGAGCTGGGGGAGGCAAACCCCCAACCCCACCCCTACTGCCCAGGCCCCGCTCCCTAGGGCGGGTGGCAGCCTCCCTGGCCCCAGAGCACATTGCTCCGCCCCCAGCAGGCCTACAGGGGGCAGAGTGTGGGTGGGGCCAGGCCTGGCGGCTTGGAAAGGCAACGCCTCCCCTTGCCTCGGCTAACCCTTGCCTCTGGCAACCACTTCTTGCTCCCTTCCTCCCATGCTGAGGAGCAGAGCGCCCCGGGCTGGGCAGGGAAGGGGGGGTTACAGAAGATGGGGCGAGCAGCCCTAGGCCTGGTTTGTCTTGTCTGCTGGGAGTAGGGGGATTAACCCCCACTCTATAACAAGCCCCTTTCCCCGGGTTGAATGGAAACACTATTTTTAACAACAAATGTGCCATTAAGAAGCCCCCGTGTGTGAGCTTCTGTCAGGCTAGGACAACGCCCCCCCCCCTCCTCCCGGGCAGACACCCCCTCTCCACCACTGCAGAGCACGGAAAGGCAGCGTCTCCCCCACTCCCAGCCAGCTCCCTCTCCAGCAATGGCCTGCTCCCTCCCTCATCACACTCGCGCAT